GAAAGCTCTCCAGCAAAATTCATTTTCTCTTTCCTCCTCTGTAGCACAGCATTCTATCTGGTCACATAGATGCCTATCAGGATTTTGTTCCCTGCCTGCCTTGCAGTTGGCAGTTGGGTGTAGCCATGTGACTGTGTCCTTGCTAAGGGATGTGAACAGAAGGGATATGTGCCACTTCGGGACCAGGGTGTCTTCCATGCCCCCTATTCCTCCTTGTGACAGCACCCAGCCTTGACTACGTAGAGGTGACTAGGTCCTGAGGAATGGAGGAGCCACAGGATGGAAGGAACTTGGATCCATAAGTATCTTAATGGAACTGAACCACCTGCATATCTGGAACACCTACCTCATACAGTGAAATGAGACAGAAATTCATTTCTTTAAGTTTCAATATTGGGGCTCTCTTAGCAGCTTGGCCTTTTACTATAACTAATAATGCATATTTATAGTAGAAATAATAAAATACAAGAAGCAGAAGAAAAGTCACTTTGGATCCTACTACACCTAAATAACCACTACTAATATTTTGGGGTCGTTCCTTCCAGACTTTTCTCTATGCCTACAAAAAAATCACATATATATATTTTCTACAGAAATGAAATCTTACTGGTTTATCACCTCTCTCCCTTAATACCATCTTTTATTTAATATATTGATATTTCTCTAAATCAAAAATACATATATATATCAATTTAATGGCTGTATAATATTTCATTGCTTCGCTCTATCAGAATTTACTTAACTAATTTTTCATTGTTGGATATTTGGATTTTTCTCTTTTTAAAATCTGTTCTAAACAAGAGTGCACAGAACATTCCTGTATTTAAACCCTTATACATCTGTCAGAGTTTTTTTTTTTTTTCTAGGTCTCTATTCTTAACATTTCTTTGCAAACAAAGATGTTCCTTCTTTCCGGGCATCTGCATTAAATCATTACATCTGATAGGTATTTGCAAGGTTACCTTTGTTAATTATATTTTTGGCTGAGTTCCATTCATGTTTTGTCATCCACAGAAAACCAAGAAACCAAACAAGGTTCCAGCTCCCCCTGAGCACCCAGGGTGAATAAATGACTCCCCGCACAGCGGCGTGAGCCACACTCCCCTTCGACAGTGCAGCCCTGGTTAGTAACACGCACACAAGGGAAAGCAGCAGTAGACCTTGTTTCCTGCTGACAAACCTTGATCTACATCTGTGTTGCCAATTACTTGTTCAACAAACCTGTTACTTTTTTGGAAATAATAAATAATTCAGGGAAAGTCATTTTGAATCCTCTGACATCTGTTGCTTGTATGACTCTGAATTATTCATCAGTGAGCATAAACAGTATTAATTAAAGAAAAGTACTGAGGCGAACCATTGAAATAGAAATGAACGCGGCAGAAGAAAATGCCTTTACTCAAAGCACACTTCGCTTGTCATTGACAAATCTCTCAAAGAGCACGCCAGTCCTTGGAATTTAAAGGAACTGGTACACTTAGACATCAGAAGGCAGGATAGAAATGATGAGCACTATTTTATGTTTCCAAATTTACGTTATTCTCCTCTTCAGAAGAATCATCATCTTTGATTGGGTCTCTTTCACGTTCTCCCCGCTTGCTCTCAGTTTGGAGGAGTGTTATGGTATTCAAAGGGAAAGGAAGTTTACTAATTGAGGTTCAAAAGAATCACAAGAATAAGTATCACGGCTCAAGTCATCATGTGCTCATTTGTAGAATGAGATTCAGAAATATTAATGGAAGGGTCCCTGCCTGCCCGCACCCCCCCCCCCAAATTAAGGATGGTTCAATTCATCTGGCTGCCACTGCCTGATCATTTATTTCCATGACGACTTTGGCACTTCTTTTTGACAAAGAGCTTTCTTGTGGTAAAGAGCAAAAGAGAAAAACCTCACAGCCTCGCTGTCTATTCCACATGGGTGGCTGCCGGATAATTCTTCCCCAGTCTGTCTCTGGGCTATTAGAGTGATATTAGATTCAGTCACACCCTCCACCCTAGAAAAGACTATGGAATATGTGAGTGTGGAGGGAAGGTGTGAGCATAAAGGAAGTGTGTTAAACAGTTTACAAAGTACTGTTGGTAAACAGAGGCCTCCAAAGGTGGGGCAGGGGTGTCTCTGGAACTGGTTCCTGAGGTACCAGAAGAAACAGGCCTCTCCAGAAAGGCAGGCTGGGAGAGCTGCTGTGGATGGCCTGAATCAGGAGATTGTCAGAGAAACCTATTTCTCTGTGTGGCTCCCTTGAACCGCTCAGGAAGGTGAATCGCTCAGTAACCTCAGTAAGGTGAATCGCTCAGTAACGATTGCTTGACACCGAGGTAACCCGGCCTGCTCCCTCCACTCCGGGACCAACTGCTGGGGTTGCTGTGGGCAACGGAGAAGAAACACTGGGGAGGGGAGAGGAGTGGCAGAGAACAAGGAGGCCAGACCAGGAAGAAAAAGCGAGAAAAAAAAACATTGAAGAAAGCCACAAACCAAGTTTGGGGTCTTTTCAAAACCTCTGAATTCAGAGGAATGACAAGCAACTGGCAAGCTCTTCTTGCTCGTGGTGACCAATGAATGGCTTCTGTGCATAAATTAGCTTTCCAGTCTCCAGATCAGATCCACAGAGACCTCCCAACGCTTCCAGAAAAGGAACCACAGAAACGCTCCACACGCCTTTGAATCCTCTTAGGGACGCCCTTTCAAGGGATTTCACAGATGGGGACAAGCCTCCCTTGTTTCTCCAAGTTTGGTTTGTTGCTGTTGTTGTGTTCCTTTGGGACGGGAGGTTGGAGGGGAGCTTGCAGAAGAGGAGAAATGCAAGGAGGAGAAACAGCTCTGCCCAGATCCGAACCAACCTTCATCAAAGGGGGTTTGTTGTTAAAAATGGCAGAGGAGGGGTGGAAAAGAAACCCAGGCTGTCAGTCTCCCAAAATGAGGTTGAACAGGGACTTCTGTGTCTCTTTTAGGCACTACCCAAAATGACATTACAGATTTAGAAAAGATCACTCATATAGCATTGGATTTTAAGAAATGAACTAAAAAAGATCTCTTTTAGAAAGACAACGGATGGACTTGCTGGGTAAGAGTGCCGCCCAGCTAAGTGGCCCCTCGACTGAAGCCCAAGTTCAGCTAGGATGCAGCCTGTTTGTAACGACCAATGCCCCCCAGATGCCCACACCCTTAATTTCATTCAAATATTCAAATATCCTTCTTTTTCTTTTGAGGAAGATGAGCCCTGAGCTAACATCTGCCACCAATTCTCCTCTTTTTGCTGAGGAAGACTGGCCCTGAGCTAACATCCATTCCCATCTTCCTCTGCTTTACATGTGGGACGCCTGCCACAGCTTGGCTTCCCAAGCAGTGCATAGGTCCGTACCCTGGATCGGAACCAGTGAACCCCTGGCCGCTGAAGAGAATGTGTGAACTTAACCGCTGTGCCACCCGGCTGGCCCCTCAAATGTTCTTCTATTTAGAAAAACAAAAAAGAAAACAGGCACTGCCCCCCTCCTTTCCAATGCAAGTGGCCTCTAAGCTAGAGGAAAAGTAAGAGTCTTAGGAGCTGAACACAACAAGCTGACGCTTTCCTCATCAGGTAGTCCAGCGCTGACACCCATCACTCAACAGGAAGAGCCCAGAGGCAGCTCACAGCCTGGAGTCTTGGTTTGGTGACGAGGCTATGACGCACCCAGAAACTGGGGGCTGTGAAAACACTCTGTGAGCGGCGAGCAAGACTTTTAGGGGGAGGAGGTGAGCACGTGGGTTCTCTTGTGGCTTCAGTTGGGGAGGCGTGTGGAACCCACAGGGCAGAGGGGAGCCAGGGCGTTGAAGGAGGCCACCCAAACCTTGATGCTGTCTGAATGGTAAAAATAAAACACAAACGAGTGTTCTCGATAGAGATACCAATGGGCAGCTCCGTAAACCTTTCCTCAGAGGCAACACTCGGCTTTTCCAAACTTCAGCATGCAAAGGAATCACCTAGGAATCTTGTTACAATGCAGATTCTGATTCACAAGGTCTGGGGTGGGGAGGGCCTGAGACTCTGCATTTCTAACAAGCTTCCAAATATGCTGCTGCTCCATTCAATTGGTAAATGTGGCAGTGAGGCCAATCATTGAGATTTTTTAAGTTTCCCAGATGATTCTCATGGGCAGCCAGGGTTGAGAACACACTGGCTGGACTAATTCTGGCTCTCATTTTCAACTACGAATGTGGACCCAAGAAACTTAATCTCTGGGAATCTCTGTTTTGTATCAGAAAAAGGGATATGCTGGCAGAAACGAATTGTTATAGAAACAAAGGTACAGTATTTGAAAGCACTTTGAAAGAAGATAAAATATAATGGTTATTTTACAGTTAATAGTTATTAGTGTCTTAGTTTCTTTGATTAGAGTGAGGAGTCAATAGCATCCCTGACTAATCAAATTTCACAAATGTTGGCTGCATGCTAACTCTATAGAAGAGAATATTTTTTAGTTAAGAGAACTTCCTGTTGTTCTGTTCACTCCTCAAAGCCCATTGGGACTTTGGGACTCTTACTTTCTTAAATGACAATTGACTCATAAATGGATTTTAGGTCCCAATGGCATTCTTGTCAGTACCTTGAAAAATCCTCCTAAAAGTATTTCAAATATGGATTCCTGCCACCAACTGATGACTGATGCAGGGTCTACAAAGCAAAGTTCCCTCCCCTTCCACTCCTCTCCTACCCTGCCAACTCCAGGCTCCCGGGTGCAAGGAAGGTCCTTTGCTGCCAACTTACAACTTTCTGTACAATAAAAAGCTCCAAAGGGCATCAGTTCTGCCAGCCGCCAACAGATGGCATCAGCGGTCGTGCAAGGTCGTTTCCTCAGCCTTGGCCTTGTTCCTTAATCTCCGTCATGTTTGCTATGCTTGAAATACAGTGTCTTGTTAAAACCTTCCTGAAGGTGAATAAAAATTAGGTCAAAACATAAGCATCTTTGGATAATAAAATGAGAGTTGGAAAGGAGTAAGAGTCCCCGACATGCCCGGCTCTGTTTAGCAACCAATGAGTACCCAGCTAGTTAAGTGTCTTGTTGGATTTAGAACAAATGGGCTTTCGGAAACTAACGTGTGAAAAGAGCTTCTGTGTTGCCAACTGACATAACAACAAAGTTCCTTCTCACAGCCCACACAGAAACCACAAAGCAAGCAAGCAATCATCCCTCCAGCACCAGGCGAGGCTATAACCACAGCAACGCTTTTCCGAACCAAAGACCCCCTGAGAACCAGAACTCCATTTCCTCTTGATTCGTCCAGCTTGTGTGCCAAGAACCAGCAGCTATCCCTGAGACATCAGGGCCCTCCCTTTCCACTGGCGACATTGGTGAGTGTTCAAGCTAGGGCCACTTAGTTCTTTCTGCAGGAATTTAGGTGAACGTCATGGTCTTAGTCTTTCAAAGGTAATGGTCAGGAATCCTGTGGATTGCCAGAATTGTATATATTATTTTAGATCAGCAGTTCTCAGCCAGGGGTGATTTTGCTCCCCAGGGGAGATTTGATGGCACTGGGTAGAGACGTTATGGTGGTCACACTGCGGAAGAAGGGGAGAACGCCACTGGCATCTAGTGGATACAGGCCAGGGATGCTAACATCTTACAATGCACAGGACAAGCCCTCATAATAAAGAATTATCCAGTCCAAATGTCAACAGTGCCAAGGTTGAGAAAGGCTGCTCTAGATGCCAGGAACTTTGTCCAAGAAATTTTAAATTCCAAAAGTCAGTTTCCCCCTGTCGTCACAGAAAAACATCTTGACTGAGAAGACAAAGGCTAATTAATGGGAACTCCCTCCTGACGTCAACATCGGCCCTCCCAAGCTTTCTTCTTCCCTGTTTTTGAGAACAGAGTGTCCCTCATTTTTGCCAAGGCCTTCCCTTCTGGTCTCATACTCGCCAAGCTTTTCTCAGGAACTTCGCTCCATCCACCATGTACTCCTCCTCAGCATCTTGGCTCTTCCTCACCACCTCCTTCTCTACCTGATTCAGACAGGCTATTTTCCATTCGAAAAACATCTCTCACCCAGAGAATAAAATACATATCTGTGAGTCCATACTGATAGAAACAAATGATTGGTTAAATAAATAAATGGAGGAGAAGGGACAAATTTTCATTACGAAAGAACTCCAAATAAAAAACGTGGAAGGAATGAGAGAAATAGAAAATCTCCAATAGGATGCTGCAGGAATCGTGGCGGCAGGCAAGATCCACTGGTGAATGTGTTTAAAGTTTTTAAAGGAGAAACAAAATACTTGCATAGCCTCAAAGCATCTCTCCAAAAGTATTTGCTAATTACCATGGTGGTTTCAGCACACAGAAACAGCCTCTCCTTGATACCCCTCCCTCTAGGAGTAGAGCTTAAGGCTCCTCCCCTTGAACTTGGGCTGGATTTAATGACTCATTTCTAATGGATCGAGTTTGTCCTAGGGCAGCTTTCTAGAATATCAGGCTGACCTCTTCGGGGGTTTTATTCTTAGGTCACAGAGATACTTTGACGCAATATCCAAACACAACACGCACCTGGGTGTGGCTGGCAGGTGGCTATGCTTTTTTTTTATGATTTCGAGTTTTCCACCGAAATAAAGAGCTTGGTGTTTACCCTGAGTGACAGTAGCTTGTACAATTTATTTGGGGCACAAGCAAAAAGAACCTCATTAGATTTCTAAAGGGACATGTTGTATAGCAAGAGAACAGTACCTGGTTCCAAAATTCAGAATTTTGCAACAGCCATTCAATCACCGAACACTGCCACTTCAAAAGCCTCAGTGACAACATCCGTTAAGCTAATACCCTGGTCACTCTGGGTCATAATAAAGATGAAAAAGGTACAACTGAACTCTCTCACCAGCCCACCCCTCGCCCCAACCCCAGTCTTGTATCTGGAAAGAAATCTGAGTTCAGAAAAAAATCTCCTGGATGCCTCAGAGATCTTTTCAGCTGAAATGGTAACAAAAGCAGCCTCAAGAAGGAATTAGACGGTCTTTAGCCCAAGAATGGCAGGTTATTATTTTGCAAAAGGTACGGTCAAAGCCCTGTTAAGAGGGAGAAAATACTTGTCTTCTTGTAAAACTAGATTGGTTGCTGGTTGTTTGGGGCAGAAAATGAATACTCACTGCTGAGGCCTGTTTGCCTTTAGCTGACTTTGGGGGAAGGCTGTGGAAAGAAGGATCAGGATTTCCTCTCCCACCCCACCTCCCGCCAGGCTCCAGGGCCACCTCTCCTCCAGAGCCAGCCAACCCCAGCCGGGTCCAGCTCAAGCCACAGGCGCCAGAAGCACAGACATCTGAGTCTCCTTTCCCCTGCGCCCAGGAGTGGAGTTTTTCAAGGGAGGGGGGCTGAGGGCACCGTATTTGGAGAACAAGAGCGGCACTTTGAAAAGGGCACTTGGAGGAGTGGTAAATTATCTTAAAGGGAATGAGTTAGAAAAAGATCAACGCCTGGCCCTATTCTCTTTGCTGTTCTGGGTAACAGTAAAGTGCCCCGCATGTATCCCTTCACCAGGCACAGGTTGCTGTGTCAGCTACTAATGGCTCCCATCTGCCCCCTAGTCTGTAAAACTGCCTTCGGCCAATGGGAGCTACTATGCCTGGGAAGTTATACCACAAGCAATCAGTGGCTGACACAGGAGAGGAGTACAAAAGGCCGGCCCTCCGGTGTGGGGAGACCAGCTCTATGGTGCAAGTCATGCTCACAAGCTCCCCAAGAACCTGGCCGAGGGGCTGGCCCTGTGTCCCTGGCCTGTGAAGTGTTGCGTGCTCCACTTCTGTGGCCCAGGGTTTCACCTGTTTGGATACTGGGCGCAGACATGGCACAGCTCATCAGGCCATGCTGAGGCTGCGTCCCACATGCCGCAACCAGAAGGATCTACAACTAGAATATACAGCTACATACTGGGGGGCTTTGGGGAGAAGAAGAAGAAGAAGAAAAAAGAAGATTGGCAACAGATGTTAGCTCAGCTGCCAATCTTTAAAAAAAAAAAAAAGAACTTCGGGCCAGCCCAGTGGTGCAGTGAGCAGTGAGCACGTTCCACTACGGTGGCCCAGGGTTCGCCAGTGCAGATTCCGGGTGCTGACATGGAACCGCTTGGCAAGCCATGCTGTGGTAGGTGTCCTACATATAAAGTGGAGGAAGATGGGCACAGATGTTAGCTCAGGGCCACTCTTCCTCAGCAAAAAGAGGGGGATTAGCAGCAGTTAGCTCAGGGCTGATCTTCCTCAAAAAAAATAATAAATAAAAAAATTTTTAAAAAATAACCTGGCTGAAGCTCAGCCTTCCCCCTGTCCTGCCCCTCTCCCCACTCAGCCCCCAGGCTGCACTTCATCTCTTTGAGAATCCCTCAACTTCTAAGGAACCTGACCCAAGACACTAGGAGTCAAGCTTCCACGAGGTTTTGGGAGAACTTCCAGTTCAAGGACTCCAGTGCTCCCTTGAGAACAACCAGGCAGACAGAACTCAGACCCAAGTCCGGCTGATGTCCCAAACACCAGAGAGAAGGCTCATTTCCTGGGTCTTCCTTATTCAGATTGGAGAAGGGACATCAGAAGGAAGGGCTCTGCCATTCCTGGGTGACAGACCTGTCTCCTAAAAAGATCCTACAACAAAAGGCTGATTTTTCTAGTTCCTGGGCACCCTGTACCCCAGTTGGGAAAAACTCAACATTGGCAAGTCCAATCTCACAGATCACATATAGGGCGAAAAAGTTACATCAGCCATCAAGTCAATTTCTCTTTTTTTTCCCTAAAGATTGGCACCTGAGCTAGCAACTGTTGCCAATCTTCTTTTTTCCCTTCTTCTTCTTCTTCCCAAAGCCCCCCAGTACATAGTTGTATATTTTAGTTGTAGGTCCTTCTAGTCGTGGCATGTGGTACGCCACCTCAGCATGGCTTGATGAACAGTGCCATGTCCATGCCCAGGATCTGAACCAGTGAGACCCTGGGCCACCCAAGCGGAGCCCAAGAACTCAACCACTTGGCCAAGGGGTCGACCCCCCCTCAAGTCTTTTTCAATGAGCTGCTTGAGGGATTTCACATTGGGCTACCATCACGGCACAGACTATCTTTCCTTAGTGCTTTTCAAGGCCATTTCCTCTACATCGGATCAGCAGGAATCTCTCTCCTTTACATATGTCCTATTTTCTCCCATCCCTCCCCTTTCTCACTGCCTGTGCCCTGCTTGGGGCTTCCTAAGGTCACCTCACCAAACCCTCATCACAGGGTTGGCCTCCAGGGATCGCTCTCGGACAGATGTACATCCAATAACATAAAATCTTAAAATCAAAGTTCCAGAGGGCATGCTCCCAGTGAACAGCCCAAGAATGCAAAGCATGCCTCTGTGACCTAACTAGTAGTAACATGCTAGTTAAAGTACTTGATTCTTGGGCAAAGTAGCTTAAAAGCCAGAGAATTGTAAAACAGTGGTCTAAAACAGCCTAAGAACTTTACACAACTCAACCACTCGTGACGCACAAGACTTGATGTGCTTTTTGGTGCAATTTTAAATTAGCTTTCATAAATCTTCACCTGGTCTGTTATATTTCAGATGCTGAATTTAGGACAGTGTTCGAAGATTTTCTTGGGGCCAGTTCCATGGTTCCAATTCCAACTTACCGTTCTTCCTTTACTGACTTCCTTTTAGAGTTCACCAGCACATGAGTCCTTGAGGACTAAAAAACCCAATGAATTAATCAAAGGAAAAATCTTCTGTTTCCCCCATTTAGAAATTCATTGAAATATAGATGAAGTCCATCCTAAACAGCAGGATGTTCTGAGAAAGCCATCAGCCTAAATGCCTTTATGAATAACTATTATGTTAGAAGCTAAAAGATCTTACATCTTAGCCAGATGAATAATCAGGCCACTAAAGACACACAAGGAAGAAAATGAATATAACGTGGGTCCATACATCTTTTTCTCTGAGTATATGAACAGATAAAATATCTTTTCATTTTTACCACCGTATACACATCCAGGGAGCTTCTGACATCAGTGATGCTTCTTGACCCTAAGTTAAGGACCTCTGGAAGCTGATTTTGCTTCCTCAGACCTCCAGTGTGCTATGTGAAGCGCAAAATGATTACAGCGTGAAGGCAACATTCTGCTTAACTTGTAAGAACTTGCAGTTTGGCTCCATGGAAAGTTGAACCAATGCTGCTACAAATGCATGTTATGGAAATGTCTGCTACAAATTCAAATAAGAAAGTGATTAATCAGTACTGCAAAAAAGTATATATATGTATTAAAAACCCGACCCAGATCAAGCTTTCAGTTCCCCCTACCTGCCAATCAGAGGTATAAAGAGAGTAATACTATCATATTCATCCCTCTTTTGC